AAGTTTAATTGGAAATCATAAGTCACAAGGAGTGGATGCATCTGCGCCACTGAGAACGATTTTGACCCATGTCACCAATTGTTTCCAACCATTGGTTTTTACCATCCCGAGGACCCCAACCAGGAAGTCTACATCTTCCTACGTGGCTTAGATTGACTGTTGTGGATTTCATTGATTGGTGCCATGTTTTGGTTTGACCGCCGCTAGCTCTTTTCCAGCCTGACCCTATATCAGCTAACATTGCCCGTCGAGGAAGGCGATGACTAGGCATACGTAGCACATGTCCTAACCATCTCAGTCGAAGTAATTTCACAGTCTCGTCGATTGATTTCCCCGCCTTACCTAGCACTCGACGCCTAACCTCAATATTGCTCACCTTATTATACCACTTCACGCGGGAGATAGAACGCAGACACCTATGATCGAAGACAGCTAATCTTTTCATGTCTTCTGCTCTCAATGGCCAGGTCTCACAGCCATAAAGGAGGACGGAGCGGACTGTTGAGCAGTACACACGCCCTTTGGTCGATAGTCGGATATCGCGTCTACGCCAGAGACGGCGAAAACTGGCGAATGCGAACCTAGCCCTCAGTATTCGTGCTGAAATTTCGTCAGAGATCAACCCGTTGGATGGCTGATGGTACTTCCCAAGTAATTGAAGCGGTCAACGTGTTCTACCACTTCACTTCCTATTTCTAATCTAGGGGTCGATGAAGTCCAATCCTGCAGCATCATCTTACATTTTATAGGGGCGAATCGCATGCCAAACATGAGGAGATTGTTGCTCAGGGTGTTCAGTAGACTCTGCATTTTGTCAGAGTCCTCGCCTAGAAGGACTATATCGTCCGCATATTCTAAGTCAACGAGATTCTTCCCTGGTAGCAAGTCAATCCCTGAGTCGCTGAAGTGAGTTAGGGTTAAGTCCATTAGTACATCTATGATGAAATTGAATAGGAATGGGGATAATGGGATCCTTGACGGACGCCACTAGTCGTCACCACTTCAGATGACAACTCGCCAAAAAGCCCTCACCTGGCTGGCAGCATGAGTACGAGTAGAGTGCCTTAATCAGTGCAATGTATTTTCTTGGCATTCCCTTTACAGCCAAGCATCGCCAGAGAACCTCCCGGTCGACAGAATCGAATGCCGCCTTTAGGTCAAGAAATATAATGATTGTCGGACGCCGGTAGGAATGCCTATGTTCTAGAATCTGTCGAAGGGTGAAGATGTGATCAATACACCCTCTACCTGGCCTAAAACCTGCCTGGTTTTCTCGTGTTTGTGTCTCCCGAGCACCACTTAATCTACGCAGTATTATTGAGCCTAAGATTTTAGATACTATATTAGTCAAGCTAATCCCTCTGTGATTATCACAAGACGACTTGTCCCCCTTCTTGTATATCGGGATGATCAGTGACTTACACCAACCCGATGGGACTTCCTCTGATTCCCAGACGCTGCCTAGAACCTCCGTTAACGCAGACAGTAAACTGACGCCTCCGTACTTAAATATCTCTGGAGTCAATAAATCAGGTCCCGCTGCTTTGCCTAGCTTCAGATTGGTGACAGCTTTAGTAACCTCGGTTAAGGACGGAGGACCTGTGTCTATCTCCCATTCAGGGAGGTGTTGGATGTCCGGTAGGTTAAGTGTGGCTGTGGGCCAATTAAACTGCTCCTCATAGTGTTCTTTCCAGCGCTCCAGACGTCTATCCTGGGAGCTAATTATGGTGCCATTTTTCTCGGAGATTGTTTCGCTTATCATTTGTTTTTTACCACCTGTTTCCCTGATAAGCCTGAATAGTTGTCTGGTGTTGCCTATCGCCGATGCTTTTTCCATCTCTTTCGCCTTTGTCAACCCCCACTGTTCACGGTCCTTGCGGAGACTTTTCGTAAGTTTCCTCTTGTGCAGCTTTCGCTCCTCATTGAATTCGGAGCTCGCCGGGATAAGTCTTCTAGCATCTATCAGTTCGGATGAGGCAGTCGAAATCCAGTGGTTTTTACTCACCTTTGGAATTACCTTATTCACAGCTTTTACAGCTGTATCTATGGCTGACTGAATATTCTTCCAGGCTTCTTCAGGGTGAGCGCAGCTGTCAAACTCAGATATGTGTTTAGCTAGTTCTTCCTCAAATAGGGACTTAGTTCCCTGGTCGAGCTGGGGACGTGATGGGTTTACCGCTCGCTGTTTCCTACGTCCGTTCAGTCGTAAGCACACACGAGCGCGGACCAGTGCGTGATCGGTATCTACACACGTGTTCCAGAAGGAGCGACAATCTCCTACCGACCCACGCCAACGATAGCTTATTGCTATGTGGTCTATTTGTGTCCAGCGTTGATTTGATGATGGGGGTCACCAGGTCAAACAGTGTCTCTCCTTGTGTTTGAAGTTAGTGCTTACAAGATACAAATGATTATCTGAACAGAACTGTAGGAGACGGTCACCGTTGTCGGTTCGCTGGCACGGAATTCCGTATGTGCCACCAACATTCTTCTCAGATTGACACAATTTCCCTACTTGAGCATTAAAGTCACCAGCTAAAACGACTATATCTGAGCGTCTAGCCTTTCGCAGCAAACTAGACAGCTTTTGGTAGAACTCATCCTTCGTTTCATCCGAACTGCAGTCAGTGGGGGCGTAGGCGGAGATTACGAAAAGGCATCGGCGAGTAGTGCAGTCCTTTCTCCTTTTCACTGATCCGTTCAGGCGGACAGCGCACATTCGGCTATCTACCGGGATCCAGTCAAGTAATGTCTTTTCTGCTCTAGTACTTAAAGCTATCCCAACACCAGCTAATCCTCGTGAGCTAGCCGTTGCATCTCCTGACACCCTCAAGGTGAATTTTGCAGATTCATCCTGTTGGCCAGGTGGGGTTAGGTGAATAACCACACTTGGGTCCTGTATGCGTGTTTCTGAAACACAACATACATCAATGGCTCGGGATGCCAGAGTCATGGCTAGTGATGCTTGTTGTCCTATTTGGTAAAGTGTCCTAACATTAAATGCTCCTATATAAAATTGGTGGCGTGGTTTTAGGAGACAATCGGTGGTGGCTTTTTGGCTTCCCTCGTTATCAGTGCACACAGAGAGAAGGGGAAGTGAAGAGCCAACAAGTAGAGGAGTTGCATTGGTAGAAGGAAGGCAAGATAATAGAGATGAAGATGAAGACAAAGATGAGCGAGGATTAGAGGGGTTTCGCGTGCACTTCGGATTGTGAGGGCGATTGGTACTTCCCGGCTGCCCACACCGTGGAAGTTGGTTGCGTGACCGCAGAGCCCAGGGGACAACTGCTTGAGGCCGGTCACACACGGCCTGTTTTTGTTTGTTCTTTTTAATTTGGTGTGTCTCAGTAGCATATTTATCACTTCTGCCCTGTGACACGGCAGCAGAAAGCGCGGTCGTTGTTAATCCGGGCCCCGACCGATCCGGCATGATATTTTGTGATTTATTTGAAATCATAGGATTGGATTGGGTAACTGCTTTTAGTCTAACTGCTATCCAAACAACCTTTCTGGCATGGTAGGACCTGCAGGAACATAAGTTCCAGCCAGTATAGCTTGTTGGGTCATTGCAGTGTTCAAGCCCGACCACCACGTCAAGGTAGCAGCTTTCGGTCGGGACTCCTAGATTAAAAACAGAGGGGAGGAAAGTGGTGGGGCGAGTTGATCATTTCATTTATTTGGTAAGTTGCATCAGGCAACGCAAGTGGGCTAATCGCTGACGAAATCTCAGCACCGATACAGAAGGCTTATCTAGCATTTGCCAATGTATGCTATCTCTGGCGTAGATGTGATATATCCACTTAGCTGTCGACCCGAAGATGTGTGTACTGCACAGCACCAGTTCGTTTCATCCTCCATTATGGCTGGCTGTGAGACATGGACATCGGAAGTGGCCAGCTAGCTGTTTTTGATTATAGGTGCCTGCGTCCTATCTCCCGTGTTAGGTGGTAGGTATAATAGGGTGAGTAATATTGAGGTTAGGCGTCAAATGTTGGGTAAGGAGGGGGAATCAAATGACGAGGATGTGAAGTTACACTGACTGACATGGTTAGGAAATGTGTTGGCGCCTGCATGTCTAGCCATCGCCTTCCAAGGCAGACGGTCAATGTTAGCTGAAATAGGATGGATCAGGTTGGAAAAGAGCTACCACATGACCAAAACATGGTTTTATCAGTCAATCAAATTCAAAACAGTTAGTTTAAGTCAACCAGCCAGCCACGTAAGAGATGTAGACTTCCTGACTGGTTGAGGTCCTCAGGATGGTAAGAAGCAATGAAGAGTGGAGACAATTGGTGATATGGATCAAACTCATCGTTGTCAACGGCTGGCTGGCTGGATCAGATGCATTCACTCTTTGTGATTTATCATATCCAATAAAATTCTATTGTTCTTCCATATCACTAATCTTTTCGCCTCATACTCTCTCTCTTTTGAATCTCTATTTACTCTCTTCGCTTGTTTTGTCTGCTCCATGGAGGGAGTGTGGCAACTCGAACTGCTACACATCTGTGAAAAGTTCTACGTTGAAACCAGTCAGCCAGTCTGACGCAATATTGTACAAAATGCTGAAAACTCCATACTGTATCATAAGTAATGTCTTGCAATAAAGCAAATTATTATTATTATGACGTTGGTGGGCTTCTAATACTAAGCAATTCTTTTAAACTAATTAAAATGGGACAGGGTTTATAAAATGTGAAATGCTGAAACCAGTAAACGGCGTTTTTCTTCGTTTCGAAAGCGTCCCACCCAGCGCTTCGATTACGACAACCAGAGTGCACAAAGTGTAACCTGCACCCCATCCTAGTGTATAAAACACATGTACTGAATGAACAGAATCAATAAAAACAATGAATCCCACACACACACACACACACACATACATACAGAGTTTGATCGATAAATTCAGTCTGAAGTCATCAAATCTACCAACAACACATATAGTTCATAATAATTTCTTTAAAAACGAAAAAAAAATAAATTATAGAATATAATATTACCTTAAACAAAGAAGCATTTTGACGGATTTCATCTAAATGAGTATGACCATGCGACTTAGCACTATCAATTCTCCTATCTGGATTATCTAAAAATGTCGCTTCCATTATCAATAAACGTGTTGATAAAAGATCTGGGCATATGGACTTTGCCGATTGTAGAACAGTAAATCTAGAATCACCTATACAAAACAAAACAAAAAGGGAAAATAAATCATTATTGAAATACTACAACCCACATGAACAGAGATACATCCTGTTGGGGGGTGTTTGATCTCGAGTAAGTAGACGATATCGTCTTGCTGTCCGATAACAGTATGTATGTAAGCTGGCTTCCCCCAAATAGCACTTGATCAATTGGCATTCAGTGTCTGTAAGTATGCTATATGCTTTGCGCCGTTTAAGTGCAAAGTACTGTTGCAAGATTGGCACTCATCCTTGCAAGTGAACCGCTTGAAGTTGTCGAAAAGGTAGTGCATCTAGGTAGCTGAGTGAGTGCGGGAGGAGGTGTGACAGAAATTCCTAACCGTGTAGTGAAAGCTAGGGTATCCATACGTTGATTCGTACCACTTTTGGCGCCGTCACCCTGGCGCTGTCAAAGGTCGACTTTACTGTGCTTCACTGCACGTAGTCTTTCTCTAAGCCTGTGAAATCTGGCCTTTCCTAGGTGAGGATATGCACCGACTCTAATTATTAGAGCATCATTATCTCCATAGGACTGATTGTGTCGAATGACATCAGCGTGTTTGTGAGTACGAGAGAGTGCCTTCATTGACTGCCTTGTTATCTGGAAAAACCAGCTCCGATGGCATGGACATGTGTGATAGGATCCTGCATAAAATAGTATATCATCATTGCTCACGCATATTGTGACTTGTGTGATCAATTATTTCCCACCACTGTGAGCCGACCTTATTGTTGTAAATGTCTTTTCCCTAGTAAATATATCGTACAATACAGTACAGTAAGGCATCTTACAGTCACATGCCAACCTTTGTCTTTTGATATTCGCATGGCTCAATGAATCGGGAGATACAACGGGCCAAAAGGCATATTAGGGTACCAGTTGAGTTCATTACCGTTATAACAATTAGCAAGCGCAGACATAACAAAGTGGCTACGGGTTTACTCAGTTTCAGTGCAGTTATAACAAGGTGCTACGAGCGTCATCCCAGAAGTCTCCATACCGATATCTGTGTTTGCTAGCCACGTGAGACGGGATGGAAAACAAGGAGAAATGGTCAGATCATTACGACGTGGCGTCGTGTGATAACAGATATTTGTATCAGGTTAGCATCAGTTATAGTACATCAGGACTCCCTGGTTGGGATCCAAAAGATACTTCTGATCAGTGACTTGAAAGGTTATCAGATACGGTCGAGAACCACAATCCTCAATAGTCAACATGCTACAACTTCCTTCAGTCTTCCCTTTCTGAAAGTCTCATGTTTGTCACTAATTTCAATTCTAAGCCATAATTGACATTTCTGGGCTTTAGTATTATGAGCTCTTGAAACTAACCCAGAAAGTCGTGATGCATCAGCAGACGTCTATCCCATTATAATCACGTATAATCTGATGGATGCTACATTTCAAGTTGACTATTTCGCAAAAACTTGCAATAAATCTAACAACTAGCAAAACACGAATGGTATTTACTGCATAGTTTGAGACCCGACTTTGAAAAGGCCTTCGACAGCGTCCATCGAGAGGTGCTTTGGCAACTACTTCGCTACTATGGGGTGCTACCGACAATTATCCATCACATCCAACAGCTGTACAACAATGCTGCATGCCAAGTAATCCACAACGGGAAACTTACGGAATTCTTCGAAGTGAGGACAGGAGTAAGACAAGGCTGCCTACTATCGCCAATGATTTTCCTGATTGCAGTAGACTGGATAATGCGACAAACAGCGGGCAATGAGGAAACATGCATGAAATGGACTCACACAAAAAACTTGAAGGATCTGGACTTCGCCGATGATATATGTCTGATTTCCCACAAACTGGAAGATATGCAAGCGAAAAGCAACAAGCATCCAGAGAAGATAGGACTTCAGGTGAACATAGAGAAAACAGAGGTGATGAAGATTCCTGTACACGAACAACAACAACAAACAACGATCAGCATAAATGGGAGGAACCTGAAAGAAACCTCTTTTACCTACCTGGGAAGCATCGTTTCAACTACAGGCGAACGGAACTAACGAGGATATCAAAGCAAGAATCGGGAAAGCAAAACAAGCTTTCACTACTCTCAAGTCTGTGTGGAGGCCAACACCCAGCACTCAGCATCAAAAATAAGATCGGGATTTTCAACTCCAATGTGAAGTCAGTGCTACTATAGGGATCAGAGACTTGCACTGCGCGTCATAAAGAGCATCTCAAACAAACTACAGACCTTCATTAACAGTTGTCTTCGCTCAATACTCAAGATCAGATGGCCGGCCAGAAAAGATCAGAAACAGAGGGGGATCTCTGAGAGCGAACCAACACAGCAGGAACCGATTGTGAAACAAATAGGCAGGAAGAAATGGAGGTAGGTGGATTGGCCATACTCTGAGGAAACAAACCATCAAGTGACATCACTAGACAAGCCACTGCTCGAGTGGAACCTAAAAGGGAAGCGGCGAGTTGGTCGTCAGTGCAAGAGTGACTTGGAGGAGGTCATGTGAAGAGGAGATGAAAACGTGTGGGCAGACTTGGAGCCAGGTGAAGACTCTAGCAGAGAACCGAACTCAATGGAGACGCACAATAATAATAATAATAATTGAGACCCGAAAAAAACAACCTACCCTATCCAAACATGAATTTTTGACAGCTTCAACCGAATACTGAATGATGCATTGACTGCTTGTATGGGATCAGATGAGTACTGACTTAAGTGACTGGAAAATACACACAACCTGTAACAATCATGTGCATAATTTGCACCGAATGAAATCACACCATCTGAAATCGAGCGGCTAATGAACTGAACTAACCAGTTACACCGCTAATGAGCTCGACCCTTAGAGAACAAAAGGCCCATTCAGTATTTAGATAGTTTCGATAAGGTGAGCAGCAACCACTACTGATTTATGTAAGTGGTATACAACTACTCATCGCAATTAATCAGTAGTACATCGTTTCATAAAAATTTACTGCACTCACTACTATAAGGAATAACATCCGTATTTTTAGTACAAATGCGGAGTCAATGAATGCTTCTATACAGTTCCACTAGGGCTTATCGAACTTTCGAATAAATCAAGGGTCTGTGTACAATGTCTAGAAACTTGCTATAGCTTACTAATAAGCAATATATATATTCAATAAAAGAAAAACCCAGTAGTGTTTTTTTTGAGAAGCAAAATGTCAACATACCTAAATAGGCGATTTCAGGAACTGCTTTTCCACTGGAATCTTGTCTATACAGTAAATAACCCACACTAGCGATAGCATGATCAGTTGAGAGTACAACAACCCGCCAACCATCTAACAACTACGAAAAAAGTAAAATTTGTTAAAGAAAAACACAACAGTAATGCATACTGCATGCATTTACAAACCTCATATTCACCTCCAGACTCCACGGGAATAAGATTACCGACAAAATCTGAATCAGTTTTCTCAGACATAATTGTGTAAGCATCGCAGACAGTAGTTATCAACGGGACTAAGTGTTTTGGCATAAAATATGTAGCTTTGCCTAATTTATTTAAAGCTCGCTTTTTCATATGTTGAGTAATCGCTCCAATATGATCTGCATGCCCATGGCTATGAATAATCATTATTATTATTATTATTACAATTGCTATTAATCATGATAAACTTACCTAATGAATATGTAATCAGCTAACACCATGGGTCTAGGTGAAAATCCAATATCGAAACCAAACACTCTGTCTTTACTTTGTACAGCAACACACGTCTCATTTCCAGCAACAGACCAACTAAAGATTTCAAATGGTCCAACTTTTTGAAAAGTCATATTCTAGGCTAGTGTTTTGGCGTAAAAGTATCATACACCTGTAAGTATAAATAGGAATGAGAGTAGGCGAGTAGAGTAAAGCGGAGTATAGTACAGTACAGTACAGTACAATACAATAGGCGACTGATAAAGATATGCGCATAAATTCGTTTTCTTTATAAAGTAATTATCCACAATATTGGGACATCTGAAAACTATAAAAGCCTAAAACCATTGAGTTGCACAGACCTCATTGTCTGTAAGCCACTAATGAATTAAATACACAAACGGTCGGTCGGTCGGTCGGTTTTCGACATAGAACTTTGCACATATGTGCGGCAGTTCAAGTCGCCACACTCCCTCCATATACCACACAAAGCAAGAGAAGAAAGTAGGAGAAATGCATATTAGAGACAGTAAACAGAGGTGAAAGACAAAGGAATAGTAATAACGAAGAACAAAACAGTTTCATTGGAAATCATGAGTCACAATGAGTGGATGCATCTGCGCCACTGACAACGACTTTGAGCCATGTCACCAATTGTGTCCAACCATTGGTGTTTACCGTCCCGAGGACCCCAACCAGGAAGTCTACACCTTCCTACGTGGCTTAGACTAACTGTTGTGGATTTCATTGACCAATGCCATGTTTTCGTTTGACCGCCGCTAGCTCTTTTCCAGCCTGGCCCTATATCAGCTAACATTGCCCGACGAGGAAGGCGATGACTAGGCATACGTAACACAAACAAAACAGATCATCACAAAACTCTCAACAACATCGTGGAAGACCATGATAATAATAATAATTTTTGCTTTATTCCAAAAACAGTACTAATGATACAGCAAGGAATTTTCAGCATTCAGTACAATATTGCATCTAATTTACTCAAAAACGACAAAAAATAAACATTACACAATAATAAGAAGAAGAAAGAAACGTTGTTATAGTAGCCATATAGCAATTACAGTATGCGATAAGGAGAAAAATATGCATAAAGTATAAAATTGTAGCAATAATAGTAATAACAACTAAAATAAAATAGCTAAGTTATAATGAAACGATAGAAAGGGTGACCCCATAAAATTACAGGAAGATGACTGATGAAAGGGTCGATTTACTTTGCTAATTACATAGTAACTTATATGTTTCACGTCTAACAGTGTCTCCATCACATAAAATATGGGCTAAATAGGGTATTGTAGAATTTTTGTACTTAGTGGTGCGGGCATATAACTTTTTATATTGACTTCTCATCCTACCTGATGAGATACAAGGGGAAATTTGTGAATAAATGGGGTGCAGGGGGTCTGACAGTACGGCCTTTGCCCATTTTGTACAGGATTTTATATGTCTCTCGACTATACTATTGGCGAGCTCAAGCAGTGTCATACCACAAGCCTTACTCACAGCATTTAATACCCTTCGTAATATGATATAGTCTTTTTTGAGAAGCCCAGGAAAGATTAATGGAGAGCAATAGAGTACTGAAGGTAAAATACAAGAGTTTACAAACTGCAGAAGTAAAGGTTGGTTGATATCTGATTGTCTAAACCTTTTAATGTAGAAGGTAAGGCGAAACATTTTCTTAGAGACTGATAAGATGTGGGATGACCATGAAAGGTCAGAGGAAAGAATTAATCCAAAGTATTTAATGCTTGACTTGGTTTCAATTTCAGTGCCATCTATGCTACAGGCATCGTGGGAACTAACTAGTTCATGTATGTCACGTCGATGCTTGAAAGTAAAGTTAACTGCCTGACATTTGGAAGGATTTAACATAAGACCATTTGACTTAGACCACTTGCTGATGTCCAACAGAAAGCTATTAAGTTTGAAGCAGTCAGACTCGGAAGTGATAGGCAGTGACATAGTCAGATCATCCGCATATTTGACAAAGTTAGTTTTGTTTCAATGAGGCAGGTTATGTAGGAAGAAAGAAAAAAGAAAAGGAGAGAGGACGGCACCTTGAGGAACACCGGCTTTTGTAAGCGAGGCAGAAGATTTGCCATTATACACAGTATACTGCATTCTATCAGAAAAATAAGAATGCAACCAACTCTTACCCCAGGATCCTGCTTGCATCAACGAAAGCTTATTTAATAAAAGGCCCCTCATATATATATATATATATATATATATATATATACAATTTAGTAACTAGAGATGCATATCGATACTACGGAGTGTTCATTGAAAACTACACTAGTTGGCTTAGTTTTATAGACATTCAAAAATACGAGTATACACTCAAGGCGCTAATACATTCAGCGAATGGCATAATTTTCCAAGTTAGAAATAACCAGCTGAGCAATTTCACATTGCACTTTACATAAAAGATTACAGAATCAATTCTGCTATACAAAACAATGAAACCAGAGGAAGAGCGAATCATGAATGCAATGTAATGGGTATCTTCAAGTTGATTTTGAAGGTTTTTCGGCAGAGCTATTGGTAGTGGCTACTAAAGCTGTATCTGTATAACGTCTATGTAGTCAAAATGAAATATACAGGGTATATGTCTCTGATGTGTTGCAAAAATTGGTCCCAGTTTCTCATGGGAGTGGATATATACATATCAAACCAATGTCGATACAAAGACTCATCTAAATGGCTATCTGCCATAGTATTTTGAAAACTGTTGACTATTCTAATAAATTTTTTAAGGTGGGCCCAGAATCTTTAAATGGAATTTGTATGAGTTCCACTTACAGAGTCTGCCAGTTTAGAAGGATGATTAACTTTATGGCGACTATGGCCTAATAGTGGTAACTGCGAATAACCTCTCCACTAGTCTGTGTGAATGGTAGTGTCTGGGAAGACTAGTCGCCGTATAATTGGTATTAAGAAATTGGTACTTCTGTTTGGGATGCGTTCTATAAACCCTCTTTGGAGATTTGTGCCGTACAATGTCTGCAACCAAGAATGATTAGCGCTTCTCCCACGCCGATTCATTTTTCGTTTAATAAGTACTGTTCCGTCAACATGAACGACAACACCAACTCACCATAATATACGACTTACCAACTCTTACAAACTTCCTCATATAAAAGAGGTTGCATCTGAATGCATAACCACCAATGCAAAAGTATTGCCGGGTTATTGGTGGTTATGCATTCAGATGCAACCGCTGTTATATGAGGAAGTCTGTATGAGTTGGTAAATCGTACATTATGGTACATACTGGAGCTTAGAGTTTAACTTGGCCAGTCTAAGCTCCATAGAGCCTGCTAAATAATTTGTTGAAACTGCAAAGTAGGAAAGTGTTGCAAACAGACAGATGCGTCTACCCACCTACGAAGCACGTGCAGCCAGAATAAGCTGACTTCTCATTGGTCAAATTCTGCACACTATAAGATGCGCCATGTATAGCATCTCAAGGTTACGTTTTAACATTTCATTTAGACTTCAGATTTCTAGGGGAATTGTACCAACATGAGTGATTTCTATTTCTTTATCATGTAATCATGCGAATTTTGAAAAAGAGTGAATTTTACTGGCTCCTGATTAATTTTCGCTGTGTTGTTATGTTGTTGTGTTATGCGCTCCAAAAGTCTATAGATTAATTTTGACTCAGGATTTTCTGGTAAAAGTTAGTTTTCTCTATTGTTTTGAGTCTATTTATAACAAAGAATTTATTATATATCCATTTTCTTACAAAGGTATCGGTTTTCACCTCTGGTTTATATAAAAATTGTTCCAAACGGTCATATTGGAATCCTACGGTCGCAATTCACTTCGAAAAGTACGCCTATAAAAAGAAACCTCTGAGGAAGAGTTTTGTGTCAATTCCTAGTCAACACAGGCATGCAGTGTGACAGGTGCAAGCATTGGTTGCACAGAATATTTAGCCGCTGAAAGTATCAACGTTCGCGAACTGTACGGAGTATACTAACGCAAGATCTTATACCAACAACTTCTATAGTGTTCGCTCTTCGAGTACCAAAGATAAAGCAAAAGACCAGATTTAGTTCTCCAAAGTACGTAATATATTTCGGGACCGAATCGCGGGTTGAAGTGAATGCTTAGCTAGTAATCGTGCACGCACGTGACACGACGGAGTACCAAATGGCGGGGATGCCTGACCGGAAGCCTTCAGCTAAACAAGTCGACTTAAACAGTGAGGGTCAGCATCCAGTGTTCAGTGATGATTGCTGTGGTCAATAATTTTGGGGAATTATTTACCGCTACAGCTCACTCCCCACCTAGTGGGGTTGTGAGTTCCCTAAGACAGAACCAGCCGGAAGTAAAAAAATCTCGATGGTTCCCTTATGGGTGAAAAAAATCTTCCGAGCGGCTTGATGGAGTGCCTACTGGTCTGTCTGCCTATGCTAATAGTGTGTCTGCACATAGCTTCCTCGATGTTGTTCGTTGGATCCCGTGCCTCGTTTGTTTCTTGTTCAGTGCCGGTCGCACCTGGAAAAGAAAACAAGAATGCTAAGAACCTTGTTGAGGAAAATGTACCAAATGAGCGTTTTGTTTTTAAAAAAAGTGACGTGTATCTACGATACAGTAAAATAATGTATAGTTTAAAATATCGAAAAAAAACATACATCTAATTTAATTTTTTTTAAGTGCATGTATAATGTACGGTTATAGGAAAAAATCTTCTACTTGTGTTAAGTGATGCTACATAAAAAAGTTTATGTGTCTGAAAAGAAGAAATAATTATTAATACCACAAACCAATGAGTTGGGTGAAACGCACAGTTATGTGAACTATGTGTAAAGGTATTCTGGGAATCTCACGTGACGTCCAGAACGCGTTCGCTTAGAATGCTTGGTGGCTTTCGTCGTGCTAGGGAGTTTTTCGAAGACTAAAGGATATTCAATTACTTGTGGATTATCGGGTACGTTAAGCTCTAGGCTAATAGGATTACTTTCCAAGTAGGCCGGTTTCAGACGGTCAATGCTGACGGTTTCTTCGGGGCCTTTTTTGTCTAAAACAAAGAATTTGTCCGTACGTTTAATTATTTTATATGGTCCGTCATACGGGGGTTCTAGAGGGCGACGCACAGAGTCACGACGAACAAATACGTGTGAAGAAGTTTTTAAACAGGGGTGAACGAAGACATCAATGGACTGTGGTCGGAGGGGAGCAGGTTTAACTGAACGCATTGCGTTTGTAATCCTGCTGACGTATGAGGAGTGATCTACCGCTGGTGGGAAGCTCGAGGGAGAAACAAACTCACCCAGTAGTCGTAGTTTCGTGCCATATACTAGCTCAGCGGTAGTACAACCAGCATCGGTTTCTAGGGCGTTTCGTATCCCTATGAGAACTAACGGAAGGGATTCAGTCCAATGGGTGTTGCTTGAAGCTGATAAACCAGCTTTCAACTGTCTGTGTAGACGTTATACCATACCATTAGCTTGTGGATGGTGGGCTGTTGTTCGAAAACGCCTGCAACCAAGGATTTTAGTCAGGGCGAAGAATAAGCCGCTTTTGAATTGCCGCCCGCGATCAGTTGTTATGGAAGATCGGCATCCATAGTTTCCGATCCATCTGTCTGCAAAGACGCGTGCGACGGTTTCAGCAGATATATCCTTGAGGGGTACTGCTTCAGGCCATCGTGTGAAGCGATCGATGCAGGTTAGCATATAGGTATATCCATGAGATTCTGGAAGGGGGCCAACTAAATCTGTATGGACGTGTTCGAAACAGGCATCGGGGATAAGAAAGGTGCCAAGGGGGCTTTTGGTGTGTCTTATTACCTTGCACTTTTGGCAAGATAAGCACGCGTGTGCCCATTCCCTTACTTCCTTGTTAATACCTGGGCAACAAAACCGACTAGTTACGAGCTTGACGGTAGTTCGAATACCTGGGTGGGATAAGCCATGCAACGTATTGAAGACGTTACGGCGATAACTTTTAGGCACGATAGGGCGAGGAGTACTAGTGGAAATGTCGCAGAGAATAGTACCTTTTCCTATACCTAAGGGTTTCTCGGCTAATTGTATTGTTTTCAACAGCTCATGCTGAAGCTCGGTATCTTCTTTTTGAAGACGAGTCAGTTTTACAAGGTCTATGCCGTCGATTTGCGTGAGGGAAGAAATACGCGACAAGGCATCTGCCACAGTGTTGCTCACTCCGGATACATGGCGAATATCCGATGTAAACTGAGAAACGTAATCCGGTTTTCGTGATTACCTGGGTGAATACTTATCTGAAGTTGAGTTCATAGAGTACATCAGAGGTTTCTGGTCAGTGAAAATTATGGATTCACGAACCTCAACTGAATGTCGAAAATGGCGTATAGCACAGTACATAGCTAGAAGTTCTCTTCCAAATGTGCTGTACTTCGCTTCAGCTAATTGAAGGCGCCTCGAGAAAAAGGCGAGTGGTTGCCGCTCTTTGTTAACTAGTTGTTGCAGAACTGCGCCGATTGCAGTGTCTGATGCATCAATTGAGATACTTAACGGTGCCGTTGGATCCTGATACATAAGAAGGGTGGCATCCGCAATAGCTTTATTTACCTGAGTAAAAGCATGTCGAGAAGGCACGTCGAGTTCGATAGACTTGATATTCCATCGAAGAAGGTCTGTTAATGGATGAATCAGAGAAGTACAGTTGTGAATAAACCGTCGGTTATAACTTACCAAGCCGTTAAAAGTGCGAAGACATTTCACTGTCTTTGGCTCCGGGAAGTTCAGTATCGCTTCGACTTTAGTAACCAGTGGGCGAATGCCCTGGTAGTCAATAGTGTGACCCAGAAAATCGAATGAGTCAACGCCTATTTGACACTTCTGAATATTGATGGTAACACTATGTAGGCGTAACCTTTCAAATGCCAAGTCCAAGTGTCTAAGGTGAGTTTCCTTGTCTGGACTGGCAATGAGGCAGTCGTCGAGACTGCGAAATACTTCATCGATGAAGCTTTGGGATGTTTAGGCCACATTCCGGAGGCCGAGTGGTATACATAGGAATTCGAAAAGTCCGAAAGGCGCGATGATAGCCGTTTTCGGAATATCTTCCGTTGCCATCGGGATCTGGTTATACGCTTTAACCAAGTCGATTTTTGAGAATATAGATGCTCCAGATAACGTTGCCGTCAAGTCGTGTATGTGAGGCAAAGGGTAGCAATCAGGGGTTGCTTGGGCGTTCACTCGCCGGTAATCACTAGTGGGTCGCCAATCGTTGCTATCCTTTTTCGGTACCATATGCAGTGGGGATGCCCATGGACTATTCGATGGCCGAATGATGCCAAGGGTGAGCATATGATTGGATTCATTTCTAGCA